CCTGTAATATGTCAAAGTTTCCCTTTACCACTGCATTGTATTTGTTTAGTTAGCACTGCATACATTTTTAAAATCTAAAACAATATTCCATGTTTAGTTAGCACTGCATACATTTTTAAAATCTAAAACAATATTCCATGTTAAATGGCTAAGTTCTTGATTTGATGTAAAATGTGGATAAGGTCGACAGCATTTATAATAAGACATGGTGACAGCATGAGAATGAAAATAATGAAGCAAAATGCTCTGGATTTCTGGAGTGCACAATACACAGAAGGAAGATACAGGTGTCAGGGTTGCTATTGTGTGGAGTCGAGGAACACGGAGATGAAAGAGAGTCACGAAGAACAGTCTTTATTAATCCATACAAGCGGTAATACAGGGCAGGCAGGAACACACATGTAACACATAGTTATCATGAGTGTCTGCTGTGCAGGAGTTGAGGAACTCGGAGACGAAGGAGATTCAGGATAACAGTCTATAATCATCCAAATAGGGGTAACACAGGGCAGGCAGGAACACACACAGGGCACATAGTATAGACGACACCGGACAAAGGAATCAAGGAACAGACAACACTTTAAATACTGAACTAAATGAGGGTAATTAACGGGACACACCTGAAACAAATGACTAATCAAACGAGGGAAACTAGGTCACGGAGCACATGGGGAGGGAAAACACACCAAAACAAGTCCATAAGCGTGACATATTACCCCCACCCCTCCCCTCTCAGAAGGCGCGTCCTCACACCATAGAAAAAACAGAGGGAGGGATGGGTGGGATCTTGGGAGGAGGACGGACACCCGGGAGGGGGCCGGAAGACAGAGTCCAGGGTGGTGATGAAGGAGGGAGGCCAGGGAGGAGACAGGAGGGACTTGGAGCAGTCGGAGCCAGGTGGGGCCCAGGCCACAGCCATAAAGGCAACCCATGGTGGAGCCTGACGACTCCAGGGGGCCGACCGATGGCAGCGGAGCAGGTGGCGGAGGAGCCCGAGGCAGAGACGGAGAGCCGATGAGCCAGGGTGACGAGGAGGCCGAAGGCCACAGTGGAGCCGGAGCAACAAAGGACCAAGGAGCAGCCAAAGGGAAGGAGGAGCCTGGCAGAGATGGAGGAACGAGGCACAGCCGGAGGAGTGGAGTCCAGAGGCGACGGATGGTCGACGACAGACCAAGGCGGAGCTGGAGGGACGCGATGGAGACTGGCAAGCACAGATACAGATTCACACCGCACAGATGGTGAGCTGAGGGTGAGCAGAGGGGCTGCCAGATGACAGCGGTGGAGGAGGCAGGAGCAGGAGGGTGGGCATTTTTGAGCCTCTGGGCTTGCAGGGCTGCAATCAGGAACAAAAACCCTCCCTGGGCCGAACTTGGGAATGGAAGCCCTCACTGGATTGGGCTCAGGGACACGAGCCCTCTCGGGGCTGGACTCGGGAATGGGAGCCCTCTCTGGTCCGATCTCAGGAACAGGAGCCCTCTCTGGGCTATTTTCAGGAACAGGAGCCCTCTCTGGGCTAAACTCGGGAACAGAAGCTCTCTCTGGGCCTAATTCGGGAACAAGAGCCCTCTCTGGGCCGATCTTGTAGCTCTGTTCGACGATGGCTCGTCGATCGCACCAGGCTCGGGCTCTCAATCATCGGTGGGCTCGGGCTTGGGCTCCACACAGCGGGGAGATAGTGGGCTGGGCTCTGGGTCTGGCTGTGCTCTGGATCGGGGATAGATGCTCCAAGTCTGGGAGGTCGACGGGGCAGTGGTAATTTGCCCCGATCCAGAACAGTGAGTTCAGCACAGCATCGTCGAACGTCATTAAAACGGTGAGCTGGCTGAACTCAACTGTATACTCCACGAGCGGCAGGTCTTTTCGGGCTAGGGGGGTGAACATCGAGGCGAGGGGATCCATAGAGAAACCAGAAAAAAAAACACGAGAAAACAAAATAGGTGGAAAAGGCGACGCTCACTAATTTTTTTCTTTGTTCGGTCCGGTCCGGTGTTCTGTCACATTTGCTACTGTGTGGAGTTTTCACACCAAAACAAGTCCATAAGCGTGACAACAGGAAGAACGAAACACCACTTCCGATGAGGTGTAAAAATGTTGCCCTTTTGTGGCCAGCTGTACACTTGGGTTCAAGTAAAATGATGATTGCTGAAGTACTGCATCAACATGTGCTTTATTGTGATTTTCACTTTCAGATTACTGCAGGAGTATTTTAGTTTTAACACGATAACAGGTAAGAATTACACAATCATATCTAACGCGAGACACTTCAACAGTTTCGCCCAGTGTTGTCATGATTATAATTGTCATTTTTCTTCTCCCTAGGAAGACAACAAAAATATATATTCCAGTAAAATTGACAGAAATTATCACTTTCAATCTGTTAAATTGGTCCTGTTTTTGAATGTCTACTCAAAAATGTAAAAAAAATAAATAATAAATTGCATGTCACTTTTAATGTCACTTTTGACACTTGGGTGCATGCAGTAAGATTAACATAGTAGCTCTTTTTTTTGCCTTTTATTATGGTGTAATGACTTTGATTACTTAATTTTAGGGAATTAATTATTATTAATTCATTCAGGTTTTGAAAGGACTCAAATCTGAAAATTCGAAGTCCACCTAATTAGAACTGGTTTCAAATTTGAATAGTTTACACCTTATCAACGGTCGTCCAGCGAGACGTTAATGTCCGTGTATCTTAACAATC